ATTATAACTGCATACATTTATAAGATTTAGGGGTTCTTAGCTAAAATTAGCTTCTCAATATTTGCTTTTTAAACTAATGATAAAGTTTAAGTGCAATTAAGCAAAAAAAATTCTTAGCTATTCTTAAATTAAAGCACTATGTGTCTATTACCATTTTATAACTTTGCAGTATTTGAACGACAAAAAATTTTTTTTTGCTTTCCATAATATTGTTCTGATGACTCTTAAGAGGAAAAAAAAATTTTTTTGGAAATATTCGCTGTTTTCTTTTTGAATCTTCATCAGAAAGAAATTAAATTTTATTTAAAAGTTACATATACACTATGAAAATTTTTAGTGTGAATCCGCATCAAAAGTTGTGGCAATTTCTTTACACCTAAGTGGCGCAGCGAAACAACATATTCTCTTACACTACATGGTATAAAGTATCCCTTACGATTTTTGTTATTCAGTAACAAATTACAGTAAGATATGATACACAAAGAGACATCAAAATTATTTTTTTCGTTACTATACAAAATAATAATATTTTATTTATGATGCATATTATACAATATTTCTTAAAATTAAATTAATTGGTTTATTAAAGCATACACACAGCAAAAAGAGAGAATATTAGTATGAATTCGTTCTAGATTAAACAAAACCGAAGCTATAGAAATTAAATGTTATAAAATTAATACGACAGATTTATGGAAATTCTCATATGAGAACATAATTATCATTATTATACAAATGTGTAACAAACCTGTCTTTTCACTTTTGTATCTGGGGAACCTTCAGTAGCATGCGAGGCAGGTTGTCACTTTTGTCAAAAATCTGACAACAATCTGCCATGGTCGCGTCATGTCTTACAAACGTACACCAAAATTAGCGAAAATAATTCATGAAGGAAGTAAATGCAAGTGAGCTTAGTGTTATCTTTCGCAATAATTGGTTTTTTAAAAGTGTTTATTAACTAGAAGTGAAGCATTCATTCGCACAATGTTTTTGCACAATAATAATTTTGGATAGTTATTACAGCACAGTTTTTATAGCGTAGTTGTTAAATTAACAAAAAAAGTTGAAATCGGAAAAATTTAAGTAATTTGAAATAACGAGGAAAAATTGCTCTACCAGTTTCTGTCACTGAAAAAAAGTGCTTAGCTTTAAACTGCGCCTGTAAATATTTAAATATCAAAATGCATAACTTATAACAACAAGATCTCGCTCTTGTAAATGAAAAAGATCCAATATGAATTAACTATTTAATTAGCTTGAAACAACTTAATATCATCTAACCAGATTCATGTCGTAACTAATATAATTATCTTAACAAGATTATCTTAACTAATCGCCAAACTAAAGTTTCGACATAAGAATTGCTGTTGCAGAATTATAATTTTTTTTAACGAAATAAATGATCAAACCACTATTCCATACCTTTTTCTTTAATTTATGCATAAAAAGATTTTGGAAATAATTGTAAAACTTATAATTTAATTGATTAAATAAACATAAATCATGTAATGCGAAGAGCTATAACTATTTATTTTTATACTTATGAAGTTTGTCAAGCATTCCACTGTAAGAATTTGAGAAATTATAATTAACGATCTATCTTGTTCATAACCAGCTGAAAATTAAGAAAACGTAAGAAATTTTTTAAGTACTTGGAGGCTCTGTCACTTACTTTCTCCACTCAATAGCCCCCGTAATTATTTATCATAGATTTCTTTTTAAACTTCAATATTTTCTACAAAAATACAAAACATTTTGGTATCAAAATCTACAAATATTGTAACTTTATGTCAGAACATTCTGTTAATGTGTTAATCGTAACGAAGTAAACAACTACCTAAAGTGGAAAAATAAACATCTGTACTTGAAAAAAGAAACAAATTAATACAGATTATGAGACTCAATAAGAAGAAATAAATGAAAAGTAATTTTACTTATTTAAGTAACGATATGCCGTCATTTTGCTGGCTGCAACTCTCAATGTAGAAATACGGAGTACCGTCAAACTATACTAGTACCCTTAAGTTACCTAATCATTGTCATTCCACTGCTTGATCAAGTTCTTCCGTTTTTCTCCTAATACTCACTCTGATTCTTCTAAAATTAACTTAAAATTTAAAGTAATATTCACTTGAATAACATTTTTTTTTCTTTGATTGAGTTTAAAGGTGATAAAAATAAAAAGATTCGCAGTACAATGAGTTTTCGGAAACACCACGTGAAGGTGGATAAAATTTCCGTGTAGAGGAGTCGAAAGAAGCCATCATTTGGCGCTTAAACGCGCTAGTGGATTGGTCGAGGTTGACCTGTTCTCTGGCCCCCACAATCACCAGATCTGCTTCAACTTGGATTTCTTTCCATGGAGCAATTTAAAAAGCTCATCGATGATACAAAAGCAATTCGTTAAAAATTTTCCTGTTTTTTTTTTTTGTTTTTTTTTTTGATGTTCCTATAGAGCCAGAAACAATGAAATGTGACCAAATTCTGGTAGTTTTGACCATACTTTTCTACACAGTGTAGACCAAAAACTGTAGCTTCATGAGAAAAACTTATTTTAGTTTGAAATCCACACACACGAATTAGGCAAGAGCAAGTATTTCTGTCATTTCAACAAAAATTTGTTTCCTATTGTAATTCATGTAAAGACCATTCATAAATAATAAATGTATTTGTTCAAAAAATGCATTTTATTTTAATTTATTTTTGCATTTATTGATATTATATTTATTTTTAAAATTATATTTACGAAGAAATATTTATTTCCCATATCTAATTCGATGAAGATTATTTTTAAATATTTAATACATTAATTCAACAAAAAAATTTCATTCCATTTTGTTTGGAACTGTATTTTACATTAATTAATATTTATTTTTAACATTATTTTTTACACTGACTGTTTCAAGCAGAAATATTGCTTTACGATACATAAATCTAATGAGATCATTTTCAACACCAGAAAGACTGAAACTTAGTATATACCTACTCGTATGTTGCCCAAAAGCAGTCAAAATGACTGGATTGCGGAGGAATAAATAATGTGTAAAAAAATCTGTTTAAAATTAATTTTTAATATTTTTTATGTTATTTACAGTTATATAACAAGTTATTAGTGAATATTAGCAATAAAAAAAATTATATGTTGTACTAAATTCTAAGAAATTGTGTCATTATATACATCATTGTTTTTTCTAATTGAAACTAAAAGCAGTCAAAACGACTTCCTTAGGCAATCTAGTGTTAAATATTAAAAAACGATGAAGTTTATTTCATTACATTTTATGCGATACAAATTTAATTATAATTGCTTAAAAGAGAAATATTTCTTGCATTTAACATACTCAAGTGACTATCATTCTTAAATAGTTCACATATTAACTAAGCAAAAACATTCTTTCATTCAAACTTTTATTTTTTCTTCAAATGCATTCACCCTCAAATTTTGGGATAATCTATCATTTAAATTACACCAAAATTTAAATTAAGTTAAAACGGACCATTCTTAGAGAGTAATAAAACGGGTTGTCTCCCCGTACCAGCATAATATTACTCATCAAAATATGTCAGTCTTATAAGTTTATATCTAAACAAGACCAGTATATGTCTTACAAAAAATTTTATATGTTTAGATAAACTTAAATGTTAGATAGCTTAAAATGTTTTGGTTTTTGTGAACAGAGTAGAAGAATAGAACAGAAAGTTATTTATCTTTTTTTTTGGATAGATTTATATTCTGCTTATAAATCTATAAGTATCTTATATTTCAAAATAAAAGCTTTCATTTCTGATTTAAAAAAACCGCATTTTTCTACGATGTGTTTTCTATTTTATTTTTTAGTTAACTGCTGCAAAATTCACGTTGATGGGGCCAGGAAAATGTATTGATATTTTATTTCTGAAACAAACATTTGGTGGTAAAAAATCTGCCTCTGTGAAAGCAAATTAATAACTTAAGACTACACGGAGAAAAATAGTATGGTCAAATTTACCAGAATATAGTGATATTTATTGTGTTTCTGACTCTTATCGCTCGGTAATTTTTACCAAATCGCTTCGGAATTAATTTGGTAAAATTAACTATAAAATATGGTTTTATAATATATGATAAATACTACTTGGTAAATGCTGTATAATTTAGTAAATTTTTTCCTGATACCTTATATGTATCAGGCATAAAAATCATTTATCTAATTAAATTTACTTTTCAGTTTTGTATTTTTTACTGAACAGGCAATAATGAGAACCATAAGTTTGAAAACTAGAATTTCCGGTTGTCCGTTACCATATGAACAGAAATAAGATGAATGGTTCAAACTCTGTATATTTAACCAGAACTAGTGTTCATTTTACCTGATATATCATTACCTTACAGCTTGGTAACTTTACAAGAATATTTTTTCCATACATGAAATAGATTTGAAAAAAATAGTGCAGATAAATCAAAACAAACATATACATTATTCCAGTAGATATTTAAAGAGAGATAAAAAAAAGGAAATATTTTATTTTTAGGTAAACTTAAATTTAAGTAAACTTAAGTTATACTGTAGAAAATTTTCGTGTATCTAGACACCAAAAATGGAACAATGGGAAAATGGACATCAAAACTATGGATAGCTCCTGGTGTAGCGAAAAACCTATACTGTTCTTTTACACTACTTGGTGTACTACTTGGTCACACTAAACTGTATTATAAGGGGAAAATATGATGCACATAAGAATCAGTAAAGTTTTTTTTATCACACAATCCAAAGCAGGAATCATAAATTTAGAATAATAATTAGTTTGTTAATTAAACATACTCAAAATATTACTATGAATTCGAACTAACCCGAATTGAATAGAAATTGTTTAGAAGGTTAATGACAGAACGCTAACGCAGGCTCGTATCCAATATATATTTATTTTTTATGCAAAAAATAGGATTAAGTTCATCATATTTATATCATATCATGCATTATATAAAATGTAATTGTTTTACGTATTAATTGCATTTACAGGTTCAAGCTTGCAGCCAAATTGGATGCGGTAGTTGGTCAGAGGAATTGGATGCAACCACCTCAGACGGAAGTGAGTGACATTTTTACAATAGTAAATAAATCAAATTATTTTAACTCATTCAACTAATTTTTATGACTTGAGACTGTTTTTTAAATTTCATTATTAAATTAAAATTTCATATTTTGACCTATTTGTATTCGTAACAAATATTTCTTTAACTTTTTGTTTACACTTTTTATGCTCTCAAACTTGATATGGTATAAATCTTAGAATCATGCCTTCTTAAGTTGAACTTGTTATTAATTGGAATATTTAAAATATCTCTTAGGAAATTAATTTAAAGTTTATATGTGTCGTTCAGTAAATTCCAAAAATGAAGAGTTTTTATTGCATGCATGTATTTATAGCTTGGAATAATTGTCATAGCGAAACTTAGTATTGAATTCAAAATCAAGATACGACATCCTTGTATTGAAATAGCTGAAGGTGGCTTAAAATTACATTAAAATTATACTCTAAAAATTTAATTTAAATAATTCTAGTTCATTAATGCAAATCTCGAGCAGAAAGTTCGTAAGAATTCGTAATGACAAGCACGTTTTCGTGTTTACGATATCTAAAAACGCTGGTGTGTAAACAAATTTACGTTAAAAATGATTGTGCTATACTTCACGTAAACATTTATTAACATGTAAAACTCATCTTACCTTCACAATTTTTTTAAAAAAATTACTAAATGAAAAATAAAGTTGCCTTTTTCAATAAAAAATTTCAAAACATTTGAAAAAGAGAAAATATTTTTTAAAAAAAACATTACTTTCAATCTAAAACGGAAATCATTAAACGCAAATATCAAGAAATACACTATTTTGTTATAAATATACTAATAGGAAGTGAATTAATTTTTATTCAAAAGTATTGAGATAGGAAATTGGAATATACGGAGAATGGAAAAGTATTAGACCAGAAAATGTCTCTCTATTTACAATTTATGTTTTCAGCTAAAGAATTTTGATTAAAAATTCCTTTTGGTATCTTATAATAAAATACTGTATTTCAATAAGAGTTTTTTTCATAAGGTTATTTCATATATTTTTATTTTTTCATGTTATTCAGATATTTAAGTTGCTACATATATGTATTACATGAAACCCATAGAATTAATACCCTGCTAGTGAAACAAGTTTTTTCATAAAAAGACTCAAACTCTTCCAACTATCAACTCATCTCACATTATTTTCATTAGTTCGTGATAACTTATATTATATCGAAATCATCTTCATTTTCTCCTACTGAATGTCTCTTTAAAAGTTAAATATTTTTTTATACAAAATATAATTTTTACTTTTTTTTCCTGAAACATTGAAGCCACTTTCACTCTTGCAATAAGCTCGTCCTCTATCCAAAAGCCAATCCGAACTGGAACATTCATGGAATAAAATATTTAGATCTATAATATATGAAACAGAAATGCTTCTGCCAACGCGTGGAACATTCATGGAATAAAATATTTACATCTATATTATATAAAACAGAAATGCTTCTGCCAAAGTGTTGCCAGCGAAAACTGAACAAGCTGAACTTTGAACAGAAATGAAAGGTTAAAAACTAACAGTTTATATCAATAGACTAACTGCTCAATATTTTTGTTTCAATAATGTTTATTAAGTTATTCAGATGTTAAGTTACGCTTATTAAGTTATGTTATTATAATAATTTAGTATTTATCAACAACTACTGGTTAAAAACACGTCGTTCATATATTAAAAAGCTTTTTTAATTAAACTTAAGTGTATATACTCCCTTTATTTTTACTTCGTTACTGTGCTTGTTTTTCATTATTTTCTACGATTTTTCTTCGGTATTATTATCGAAATTCTGGTTTTGATATTATCTTTCTCAGGGCCAACAATTAAAATCAAAACTACATTAAAGCGAAAGAGTGAAAGAAACTTGCATACTTTAATTTATTTATTTCCAATCCTGTGTTCTCGTTTAATTTTTTGAAAGAAGAGAAATAGAAATCATTATCATTCAATTTATTTCGAATTCAGTGACTTTTATTACCCTTCCAGCAAGCCGCCCCACCAAAGCACAATACCACGCAATTACTAATAATTACAAAACTGAAAATCTAAGTTTACTTAATGGTTTTTATGTCATGCTCTAAGGTATTGTGCCAAAATTACTAAATGTTACCAAGTTTTATTTCATTTACTACTAAACATATAGTAAAAAAAAACATTTATAAAGCAAAAAAATAACGAAAAAAACCTTTTTATTGTTAATTTTCCCAAAATTATTACCAAGGCGAAATTAACGAAATTCCGGTGTTCTCATAGAGCCTGGAACACGGTAAAGTTTGCTACATTCTTGTAGTGTTAACCATACTTTTTTACTCAGCACGTGCAAATCGTTAAAGGCTGTAGGGCATTTCTTGTTTAAAAAAAATAGAATTTAGTTAAATATAATAATAATCATTCATCTATTTCATTGTGCCTCTGAAAGGAAGCTTAAAATATTCAATATTCTTTTCATTTCAATAATGGCATTTCCACCCTTTCAATTTAAGCGAGACCAATCATGTGATTCGAATATGAGACTAATTTCTATATCAATGAAAGGCACAGCATTTACAAACTACCAACACTATGAATAAATTTGATACTTTATCAAAAATACAGCATGTCTGAATTTCAAAAGAAAGAAATAAAGAAGGAAAATTGTTTCCGAGAATGTGATTAATCCATCTTATATTTTGAACTCGGACACTGACAATAGCAAAGCCACACCTTCAGGTATTCCGGTAACATGATTGAAGGATGAATTATGTGAAAATGAAACATTTTCCGAGAAGAAAGTGGAAAATTTGAGGTATCACTTAGTAACCTACGCTGTTTTGTACCATGACAACTGTACCTTGTCAAAATAATTCAGCGATTTTTAATTCCTCGTTTAATATACCAATGTAGACCATGAAGGATCAGTTTTTTCCTTGATGTTAAAGAATCGTAAGGGCTGGCGATGCCGCTGCTATTTTTGATGCTCAACTTAACGTTAAATTTTTTTTTAATTATTGCGCAAAGACTTCAAAGATAAAAATTAAAATTTCTAAGGTGCATAAAAAATTTTACAAGGATTTTGATGGAATAAAAAGTTATTAAATGTCAATTTGTTGGAAAAAATATCATTTCCAAAAATGCTTGTTTAATAAGAGCTCCAAACGTGCTGTAATTTGAACAAATTTAAACATTTTCTTAATAAAAGAGTTTTCGAAGATAATAAACAAATGCACAAGAATGTCTACATAGTGACACAGAAAGTACCTACTATTAAACTCAGATACATTTTTAATGGTGAAAAAATTATATATTAATTGCAAAATTGACTAGTATTTTTTCTTCTAGTTCACTTTTCTAAACTTTAAAAAAAAATATCGACACTATTATTTACAAACGATTTTATAATAAGACCTAAACATTCCTTTGCTGACCGGCCTGTGTAGGGGGTAGGGAACTGTCCTTGCATCAGAAAGATCCTGGTTTCGAATCCCGGGCAAGGCATGGATGTTTCTTTCTCTCTCTCTGTGTTCTATGTCCTTTCTCCTTGGTGTGTGAATGTGACCCGCCCTATAAACGGGTTGTGGTTGTGTGAATGGCGTGGCAGAAGTCGAATTCCTGTCCATAGATGGCGCCACTGAAAAACAGGAACAATCGCACCCCCATTGCGTAAAACAGGCATACGACAAAAAATTTGAAAAAAAAAACATTCCTTTACTATCAGAATAACTCTCATTCACAGGAGATTTCTAAACATAGTTATTAACTGATATTGATATTTTATTTCAATTAACCCTTAATAAATTTTCAGAAAATAATTTTCAAACTGAAAAACAAACATTGCTGCATTATAATGTTCATAATGCAAGCACCTCAATAACTTTTAATCTTAAAATCGGATTTACACATACTATAATGCAACTATCGATGTTTAATCAAATCGATTTAATATTCTACTAGAACTTGATATTTAAATTCGTTTTTTTCAAATCTACAATTGTTGCAGAGTGGTTGATGTCTACGAAGCATACTATACCACTACACTTTTTTATCTTATGTATTTGATTTAAAAAATTATCTTATGACGATGGATGTATTACGCAGGTAGAAAAATTAGTGAAAAGTTAATGTAAGTTTCAAACATCGGTTGATTTTTTGGTTTTTAGTGCGTGGTCCATTTTCTTGTTTTTAAAAGTTGACTACCGATACAGCGCATTCACGTACGACTCAAGTGTTGTCAACCTAAACAAACACCGCTATTTATGGACTATGTAAAACAGATATATGTATAAAGATAAGTTAAAACATTTCAAAGCAATTCTCGGTTGTATGTCAGTATGTCTTTTAAATTCTGTGTCTTGGTTCAAACTATCTTAATAGTACCGAGTTAAAAACTAAGTTCGTCAACTATTATGCATTTTTAGTAACAGTATATACTACACTATTATATAAATATTAGTTTCTTATTTTTCTCATATCTTCTAACAGAATTTAATCTCATTATTAATTAAGAGTACAGTGTGATCTAAATTAATGAAATAAATAAACAATAGCCGGTACACTGAGAAAAAAAAATATGGTCAAAACTAGAAGAGTATGGTAAAATTTATCGTGTTTCTGGATCTTTGGGAACACCAAACAGCGCGGTAATTTTTAACGAAGCGCTTTGATAATGATTTTGGTCAAATTAACAATAAAATATATTTTTTTGCCATATAAATAGTTTGTCTAGCAAATTCTTGGTAGTAAATTAGGTAAAATTTGATAAGATTTGGTAATTTTATCATGTTACCTTACAGCAGTGTTTCCCAAAGTGTGATACTCGTACCCCCAGGGGTACGAGAACGGTTTTGCGGGGGTACGGGTTCTTATTCGAAATATCTTTCAACAAACAAAAATTTCAAAAAAGAATTATTTAAAAGCAAAGCTAGCCATGAAAATTTACGATTACGTGTTTTTCTATTGGCTATTTTTTGCGGAGTTAACAGTTAATAATAAGTAGTGTTAACAGCCAGTTGTGATTCTTTAACCTTTGTGCAATTTTTTTATAGTAAAAAGTACATTCATTTTTTCTCATTAGTGGCACACAGCGTTGCGAAAAATTTTGAAAGGGTACACAAAAGTCATAAGTTTCGGAAACACTGCCTTACATCATGGCATAAAAACTGTTTAATTGGTTAAATTTACTTTTCAGTTTTGTATTTTTTACTAAAAGTATGAAAATAAGAACTAAAATTTTGAAAAAGAGAATTTCCGATAAACTGTTACCATGTGAATGAAACAATTGCCAAATGAATGGTTTAAGTACCATACATTTTGGTTTTATTACTAGAATTATGGTTCTTATTTTCAGAAATGTCATTACCATATAGTACGGTAATTTTAACTGATTTTTTTCTCTGTGTATTAATAACATAAAAATATTAACAGCAGCTGTTTGTAAACTTTAAAAAAAATGCAGGAAAAGTCATACTAGATAAGAATTCATTAACCACTACAAATTGTAACAAATACTGCAAATTTTATTTCGAGTATTTTGTATATTTTGGATACATTTTTAGAAGAAGAAAAAAGGAAAGTTTTTTAAAATATTTTCAGGAACTCTTCCATTATATTACTGAATTTACATCTTAAAATAGATGAAAATTCTCTTGCTTTTTAACAAAACATATTTTTGTTCTAATTTTATGGGGCGCTTTTTTTTTTTTTTTTTTTTTTTGAATAAGCATATTTTTACAGTTACACTCACTAAAATGCTTGTAAACTTAGAAATCAATTTTTATTGTATTTGCGGCAAAATTTTTCTTTAAGCAAGTCCCCAAACACAGACCCTGTAATTTTTTGGTATATATATAACTTGAAACAAGAATTATATTCCGTGTGCAGAAATTATCTATCTTTACAATCATCTATCCCGAAGTCATGGTGGCTCAGGGGATAGAGCTTCGCCTTCGAATGAGGCGAACCTTGTTCGACTCCCAGTGATGACTGGTCGATATCAATTCCGCACCCAGCTCAGCTCGCACAGCAGTGCAGCTGTAAAATATCCTCTGTAGTAGATGGATCGTGGATTAGAGTCCCCTTGTCGTCAGGCTAACCTTGGGTGGTTTTCGTGGTTTTCTTCTCCATGTGAAGCAAATGCGGGAAACTTCCATCAAAAAGTCCTCCACGAAGGCAAATTTCTCCCAATACTTAATCCAGAAGTTCCCGTGTCTTCGGGATTGAGTTCAAAATTACAAGGCTATGGAAAGGAATTTCGGTAATCATAAGTCCAGAAATTGGGTCAGCTGTTCAACAACGGTTATAAAATCATCTATCCTGACTCAAAACAAATTTATCTAAGTCCTGAAAGATACGGTATAAGACCATTGATTCAGCTTTTCATTATGCTCATTGCATTGGATTAGAATTCATTCGCCCTCATTCCTTGCATATTAAAGGAATATGTTGAATCGTATATTTATTTGTACGACGACTGTGTTACAAACTGACTTAATGACGAAATGAATCTCTTTTCAGTGGCTGACCCTCCTGAAAATGTGCAGATGAGATGTTATCACGACAACACGCAGAACCTCAATTACGTTGTGATCACGTGGGACGTGCCTAAGAATGTGAGAGGAAGCGTACAGGCATACAATGTATGTATTCTATTAAATTTATTCAATTTTTTAAAATTTTGCTGAAATATTACTTTCAATGAGAGTCCCCAGAGTGTCACTTGTAATCAATATGAATCAATATTATATGTATCACAAATCAATATGAACTTTTTTTAATCAGTGATTTGTTTATTTTTTAGTTATGAAATAATATGTTAAAAATATTTCGTCCTCTAGTTGCAAAGATACAAATTATTTAAAATGAAAGTTTTGGTGAAATAATTTGTAAAGTGAAAGTTTTGGTGAAATAATTTGTAAAGAATTGCAGAAATTTCGCCAAATGTAGTTTAGTAATGTTGTTCAAATATGATCTGCTATTCATTCAAGGTTCATTGCACGATAAAACAATTTTTGAGTATTTCTCATTTTCATGTGTATAGTATGTCATTCCTAAAAATGAAAATAACTTATTTAAGATATCGTGGTCTTACCTAATCAATAATAATTTTATTATATATATAAAGGTCTTCCTAATTTTAAGTTAATTTAAAAACGCTTTAGATCTTTTTTTTTTTTGAAGGAATTTTAGAACTTTATAGTAAGCCTTACACGAACAACAGAATGAAAAACTTATTTCCTAATATAAATAGATTTATCAACAAGTTTATTTAAACATAAAGAAAAACATTCTCTATTTCTTTAATTTTAGATCTCAAATATTTTAAAACCTCAGGAAAATTTAAAATTCCGCAACAAACTATTAAATTGAAATTGGAATCCTATTTTACACCTTTATGTAATGTTTGCATTCAATTTAAATGGATTATTTTTAATTAGGTTACTAACTCGTATCAAATTATAGAATGAAATCAGATTTTAAAATGAAAAAGAAATCTTTTACAGACAAATTATTTTACTTTTAATTAAATTTTGTAATTAATTTTTAAAGCATTGGTCATATTTCAAAATTATGTTTTAATTTAAATATAAAAAAATCAAAAATAAATAATCTTGAATGGTAAAAAATAATATATATATATACGCACATTATACACAAAGCTTCTTTTCAAACTTTTGAAAATATTTTTAAATCACGACATTCTTTGTTGCTGTCATTGATTTACTGATAATTGTATGAATTTTCTGTAATTAAAAGTATTATTGTGTTATGAAGTCATTGATTAAGTAAATGTTTAATGCTAATCAAAATTTTAAAGAAACAATAAGAACGAAATAATTGGAAATTACTTTTCTGAATAATTATGTTTTCGAGTTTAAAGAATAAATAATGATAACAATTTATATGAAAATTCTTATAATGATTAAAAAAAGGTTGGAGATTTATTCTTTGCCATTTCAGTAAATATTGCGTGAAAGATTCTTCCTTGGTTTGGTGCAAATTTAAACAAAAAAAAATACTATATAGTCTTACATTGTCTCTTTTAATGCTCTCTACTTTATTTCATAATTAAATTGAAGATAAATTTCAATTTTAAATTTTTAAATATCGAGCATGATATGATAAATTAACTAGGTAAGCATGCTTGTCCGATGTGCAGAGTGCAAAATAAAAAACAGACCACCTTAAATAACTTTTGATTATATGATCGGATCTTCACGTTTCAGGAGTCATCTTAAGGGTTCGATGGGGTGACCTTAGATATGCTAATTAATTAGTGCAAACTATATTTTTAGCCACGAAACCTGACGCAAAAACGCACTTTCACGGAATAAACATACCTTTTTTCGACAAATTCGGATTTTTGACCATTAATATATAGAGGGTAGCCGCAATATGGAAATATGATTCCGTTAATTCGGTCAGGAGATAAGTCCAATGTTTGAGTCCTTTCATGTTGATTTTACTTTTTGCGCATTTCATCATATCTCGTGAATATTTTAAGCGAATGTTGCGCAATTTAATTTTGGAACACAATTATAAAATTCGTTTATTCAAAGACAATTACATGCAAAATGTAACTTTTAGTAAATTATTTATTATTTTATTATTATTTTATTTAATAGTAGTCGAAAGATTTCTGATTTGTAAGATGAACAATTTTTTTTCATCATTTTAAAGAACAATTTTACAGGGCTAAATACAAAATGTGAGCGAAATGGGTCGGATAGTTCGTGAGACATTGAATTTTAAATGTACGGCTTTTTCAATTTCTCGAGCTATAGCAAAAATTAAAAAAATAAAACTAACATTAAAGGGTCCAAACAAATCTGATTATTCGATCTAAAGTTATTCATACTTTTTTTTGCACAGGACACTTAATCAAAATTTATAGCTAAAATAACAAATCAACATTTGACTTAATAATAGGAGTTTTTGCGTGCAAAGCTTAAATTATTCCAAAAATTTTAACTTGTAAACAACCTCGTAACGAGGTCGATTTCTAGTTAAGATTTTTTTTTTACTCAGTCCAACTTCTGTTACATATTTACCAAGTGTAATTTAGTTGATCATAACCTGCTGTACTTCGTCAAATATCAACTAAAGAAATATTAGGAGAAAAAGCTTCTTGAAAAATTGAATTAAGAAAGGAAGTGCGTCTATGGACGAAGAAACTGTGAATTCTCTATGAGCTTAAAATCGCTATCAAAGTTATTACTTGATTAAAAACTTTATTTGCATTAATAATACACAAATTTAAAGTAACAATCGACATGTTTCAAGCGTTTTGAAATAAACTCCCATTTTCAACACTTCCCATCAGTGAATGAGAGGTAACAAAAATACTTTGAAATCTAAAACGTAAAGTTACTAATGAAAAATGGAAAAATATAGATGGGAAACAAGCCTAGAAAAACCACAGTAGCCGAGAAGAGTAACTCAGGACAAAATGAATGTAACAAAATGAAGTAACAAAATGAAGAATAAAACAAAGAAAAATAATAGACATATGAAAAAAAGGGGGTGGGAAATAATAAGTAAAAAAAAATAACAAACAACATTTTATTTAAAAAAAAAAAAATGAATTGTTAATAAAAAAAACCGGAAAAAAAGCCGGAAAAAAAAGATATAATCTTTTCTTCAGCCCACACGATTATATCCGCAAAATAGAGTGCTTACTGATATTGTATCAATAAAGCCAAAGCAAAATATATTAATACTATAGTGTGAGGAGCACTCAAAAAAATTTTTTTTAAAATAACTACAAATAAAATAGATCATAAAAAGTAAAAATAACATGTAAAAACAGATAATAAAATAAA